AAATCCTTGCCAGAGTCCTGCTCAATCACCTAATCGTGCATCTTCCCAAAGAGTTCATATTAGATAGTGTGGCTTCAGAGCAATCAGGTTTGCATATTTACTGAGCATTTATGTACGGTCTTGGGGGAAGAGCCATCCCTCAGCCCAGAAAATATCATGGAGCAAGGTGGGATTAACCTTGCTGGGGCTGCGTTGTCTCAAATATTGAGTAGATTACAGGTGCTATTCATTAAGGAAGTATGAAATGCAATCCAGAGTCTGAGACCAGAAAATGTGTTGGGCCCCAATGATCTCCCAAGTGAACTGCTGGGGGAACGTGGCGCTTTTGTGCAGACTGCCCTATATGGAATAATTACAACACTTAGAACCACTAGAAGAGTCTCGCAGGATTGGAAGGATACCCTGATGGTCCCGCTCTTTAAGAAGGGGTAATGCACAAACTGTGCATATGTATGTTGAACTTATTTCACAGTGTACGTAGCCAACCGTGCTAATCAGAGTGTGGGGGAAGGACAACAGAATGAAAACAAAAAGCAGTTTTAAAAAAAATTGGTTATCAATAGATGTAAAAGTGTATAGCTCTATGGCTTCCTAATATCGAAAGGAAGAGCGTTCTAGATGGCCGCAGACGCACATCGAAAATCGTGTGATGTAGTGACTGTACTTGTTCTATGACTCGCCAAAAGCTGCTGCGAGGATGACCGGAGTTCACGTGATGGTTTATGCCCCTTGATGCGATCAGCAAGATACAGTATTGTGGTTCATTTGTGGCAAGCACTTTGTGTGTAATGATGAATGTAACAACTCCCTCTTCAGTGTGCTGGGAAAGGTCCTGCAAGGATTATTCAACATTGTCTTTCCAGACACGCTGAGGAGAGGTTTGCAGAGCCCCAGTGTGGTTTAAGGCCAGGGCAGTCGTGCACAGACGTCATTTTCTCGGTCCGTCTGCTACAGCAGCGTTGTAGTGAATTCCAAAAGGACCTACATCTCTGCTTTATAGGCCTTGTCATGGCCTATGATGCCATCAATAGGCCAGTGCTCTGGGTTGATCTGCATGCTTTCGGAGTCCATGACTAAGTGTCACAATCATTAAGGACGCTCATGATGGTGGGAAAGTCCAGGTAAAGCTATGTGGTCGCGAGTCAGAGCCATTCCCTGTTCACCGTTGGGTGCGACAGGAATATTCTCTGTCTCCTACATTATTTGACTTCTTTTCTGATCCCGTAGTTCTAGAATCCTTTCCATGTCTGCTGTACCTGGAGTGTACTACAGAGAGAACTGCGCCATTTGATATCCTAATATACCTATAACTGCTCAAGATAGATTACCTTCCCTTCCTGGGTCAGTAAGTCCCCCACTATATTGGGCCTATAGCTGTCCAGCTGGGCCAGTTAACTCCTGTAGCCTATATTTTTAGTAAAAAGTTGCCTACAGAGGGGATTGTCTAATTAGGACTGCATAGAAGGAGATACACTTGTCGGTGCATATCCTCAAGGTGCTAGAAATCGTCCAAAATTGTTTAATACCCCGGGATTTATTTTTCGTGGGGCAAAAGTAATCTCAGCAAGTGACTATAGGCTCACAGAGCCTTCTGCCCGCTTTTCCATGTACATTACAATTTCGGGTCGATCCAATGCCTGATATTCTGGAGGGCGATTTGTTAGTGATATTTCAGGAAATCGGGGCAGGGCAAGCCAGGCTCTCAACCACCCCCCCCCCCTCTCAAGTAAAGTAAAGGAATGATAGTAAATTCGCACTATCTTGTGGGTCCATATGAATGAGGCGATGCGTGAATGGAGCGTCTTGAAAAAAACCTTCGGCATATGGGTTGGGGAGCTTTGGTAAGATCATCAACTTTACCAAGTGGGCCCTGTTAGAAAGGGAAATGATAATTTCTGCCTCCAGTGATGTAGAGATCTCCTGGAGTATGAAGGTATATTTTTTTTCTGGAAGAGGGATGTGAGGAACGAAGGGACAATTACTCCCAAATACTTAATTTGCTTTGAACACTACGTGAAGGGCAACAGCGTGCAGCGCAACAGCCCTTCACGTGCCTTAGGGGACTCAAGTTGCAATGGCATAAACTGATTGTGTTATATTTAGGTTATAGCCTAATGCCTCCACATATTCCTTGACCAAAAATAATAAGGCAGTAATCATAGACACTGGTTCTGTGAGGGTAATGAGGACGTCATCCGCAATAGAGATATATTTGTTCTCCACTGTCCCTTTGCTCACTCCCACTATTGCTGACTTCTCTGGATACTCTCAGCAAAGGGTTCAATATCCAGAGTGAATAGTATGCGAGAGGGGACAACCTTGCATGGTGCACTTACCCATGGGAAACACATGGGAAGTTAGGCCATTCATGACCACTTTGTCCATGAGTCTGGTGTACAGGACTCTACATTTGTTGATAAAGGTGGAGGTTATCCCAAACCTCACCAATATCTGGAATATGAAGCCCATCCAAATCTGTAAAATGCTCCTCCCGTCTAAGGTTTGGCCATATACGATCCAGTGTTCCCTTGTGGCGAATCTACTGCGTTGAACAACATCTTGATATTCTCTGCCGAATTCCTGTTCTTGACAAAGCCCGTTTGTGCTTCTCCAAAGATCATTGGGAGAACCTTTTCCAGCCTGTTTGATATGTTTTGTAATCCGAGTTTAACAAGGAGATGAACCTGTAATTCTTCATTAGCTCCGGCAGCATGCCTCATTTATGTAGAACCTAGATTCTAGTGTCATTCATGGAACCTGGAGGGCAATTGATAGTGAATAATGCATTAATGGTCAGCGATAACTGGAATACTATAGGGACTCCATTTGTTTTTTTTTGCGTGTAAATTTCCACAGAGAATCCGTCAGGACCTGCTGTCTTCTCCGAAGGTGATGATGCTCTTGTGTGCCGATGGGTTTTCTCAATTCAACTATCCGTTTAAGATCTAGGCTAGGGAGAAGAATTTTGCTCAGATAAGCCTCATATAAGTCATTTAAACACGTGTTCATTCGTGCTGCTCTTTACATAGAACCTACGTGCCCTCCCAGGATTCTCCATACCTTATCCAATTCCCGTCACTTTAAATGTTGCAATATTAATAAAATAATTAAAACTCGCCATCTCCCGCCACTACGTGCCTTGCTTACAGCTACACACCACACGTGCTGCACTGTACCCTCAAGTGAGGCTATAAGGGAGCCGTGATTACCAGGTGAGAGCCATATGCCGAGCTCATCCAGGGTGGTCTCAGTGGGGCAGTAGTGAGGGGAGGGGTGTGGGAGAGAAGAAGGAAATGAAAAAAGTGAAGAATGAGGGGTGAGATGGGAGGAGGGGCAGTCTAGAAAGAGAAAGTGCTCATTGGGAAGTGAGAGTTCCCTACATCGTTCAGCTCGGGTAAAGATATGCGTTGTGAAGGCATGGAAGACACAGGTTCCGGCGAGCCCAATCCATTCCACCCAACGACCAGCAGGCTCAAGTAACACTCCTTTAGTGTTGCCCCTGACTTGCCCTCCGTCTCAGTAGCACTTCATGGAACTCACGGAACCCCATCACCTCACCTCGGGTTAGAAAATCCCATCTCCTGCCTCCAATGTGGATCTGAAGTTTGGCTGAGTAGAGCAATTGCGAGCATACCCCATTCCTGTTCACCAGATCTCTATGCAGTAGGGTCAGGGACTATGAAGAGCCAGTTTCCCTAAATTTGATTGACATTACCCTTGACATTCTTGCCATACTTAGTGCTTCTGCTGCCTCCTGCCAATTGGAGAAGAGGATTAACAGGGGACGTGGTCTACGGTTGTTTGCTTCCATTGAACCTCGCCCCTCTTTCCTTTAAACCTATTGTATCGGTTGTAGATCTGGTGTTTTGAGGTTCATTAGTGCAGAGGGTAGGTGTTCTTAAGAGTGGGAGAGGGCTCCTTGGGAAACAGTGTCCTTTACCCCCTCTGGGAGACCAGAGGCCTTCAGTTGACTTGCCCTGCCTTTACCATCTCGTTTATTAAACGTCTTCTCTAGCTCCTTGAGTTGTCGTTATGCACTTTGCTCGAGTGTGGTCTAAAGAGATGTCATTGCTAGCTCTTGTTTCTCATCCTCTCATTGATCCCACTTGGTGTTTTGTTAAAACACGGAGTAGAGCAGTTTTCGCCTCCATTTGTTGACCAACTTCCCGGGTGTTTTAGAAAAATGTATCGAACTTTTTCAAGTAGAGCTTGTAGCATCCCACGAGTCCCTCCAGGAGGGGTATCATGTCTTTCCTTTATTGGAGAGGTCAATGGAGATGAGGCCTTAGACTTATTGCCCAGGCCTCTTTCCGCCATGGAGCACGCGGTGTGTGAGGCAGGCAAACACTTGCCTAAGATTCAGTTACATGAGACTGGCCGAAGTAAGAAAAAAATCCAACCTTTCGTGCAGGAAGAAAGGCGCACAATAATTCCAGTTTTTCTAACAAAAAAACTCTGAAACCTCGTGCATCGGGCTAATATTAATGGAGGTGTCGAAGAGGTCCGATTGAGCACTGTTCACTTGGTCGTGACGTCACCAGAAGTCGCAAATAGTCCATTAAAAATGTTTGTCATTATTTATGAGAGTGTGTGCCAGTGTAGGTAGAGTATTTTCAAGTAATGGTGCGCGCGTTTGTTCATGTGATTGGATGCGTGTGTTTGTGCTTGTAAAAGTGCACTTTTGTGTGAAGATAAATGATGTCTATAAAAAGTGTGGCATTGATCATCCGTTATTTATAAAGGAACATGCATTTTAGCCCATATATACCATATGAAATTGGAGTAAGGAGAACTCTTAGCTTACAAAACTTATAGACTTTATGTAAGTTGCTCCATACTCAGGTTGCCAGGATAAGACCATCAACTGCACTTCAGAACTCAGTTTAAGTATAGCCTGTGAACACAGATTCAAATCAAGGACTGCATCATTGCCAACTCGGCACTGATTTCTTAGCAAACCCAGCCACCTCATATCTCCACTGGGAACAGATAAGACTCACCTCTTCGTCACAAACCCGTGCATTTTGTACCGATTCAGGGCAGGATTCACTTCTTCAGCTGTGAGGAGACAAAGCAGTGGTAAAATAATCAAAGTTGAGAAAAAATATATACAGAATTATTAATGAACTAGGTTGTTGGGGGAGGCGCTATAGGCGCCATAGGTGCCCCCCAACAAATTGGTCAAGTCAATACTTACGATCCACTCGCACAGCGTGCGGTGGGCCTTCATCCAGCAGTGGATTTAAGCACCAAAAAAGCTACAATACTAATGTAATTATAATCGTGTGTATATGTCCGTACGTAATAGATGTGTGTGTAGTGCACGTGTGTTTTACCGTCAAAAGTATTATCGTAGAGTACTGTAAAAAGAACGCGAATGGCTTTGCTGCGCTTGAGAACTTTCAATAAGTCACTTAAAACTTTCACTCTTCATACCTTGTCCCGCCATGTAACTTTAATGTGAATGAATGAAAATGTATTTTAACTTTAGTTGTGATATTTAAATTCACTTATCAGAACTATGACTTATTAATCACTGAAAGAACTGTTAGGATGATTTGGCACTTGCTATATGAAAAAAATGGTCAAAGATAACTTGTGTATTTTTGCCTCAAATATAAATCGGCGCTTTAAAAAGTTGTAGATGTTTTTTTGAGAATTGAGAAAAAAATTAACGGCAAAGTTGGAGGCGTGACGTCATTACACACGAACGCGGCTGAGGTGTTGTGAAAGAGAGCTGACGTCACCGCCCATTCATGTTTGTGAGGGGCGCACATCTGGTTGGCTGCTTGGTCCCAGTCACGTGACGCACTTCAACCAATCCGTGCCGCGTTAATCACACAAGGACAGAATGACATACCTGGGTGTTTATATATATAAATGAATGAATATGTAATCTCAAAAGTTGCTGAATTTTGAATGCACACATGTTTAATTCATCATCAGGGACATAATGATTCTGTAGCACGATAAATCACAGACAAGTGAGCAGGTAGCAAATGTTGTTGATGCCAACAATTGGAAAGGTCTGTGGCCCTAAATATTTGGCCAAAGCTGCAGCTGTAAATGCTAAGATCTTTTGGGAAAAAGGGAGTGAGGGCAAAGCCTAAGTCGCCTATACCTTGACTGAACAAAAATAAGAGACACAATAATATAAAAAGTATACATGTTCAAACAGCATAATAAAAAACAATAAAATAATTTTATTTACCTTAAATACTGAGGGTTTAATTGCATGGTGATGACGATTATGTTAATTCGGATGAGGTAATGGGGTAAGTGTTTGTTGGGAGAAGGAGGAGCTTTGCTCACCCTCTTCCTCTACTGGTGGTGGAAAGAGGGCGGTGGAGGGAGCTGGGGGATGAGGAGATGCATGGAGCGAATATAGATCCGAGTGATTTTAAATACAGTGAATGTGTTGTGTGTCAGACGAGACACACGCAGAGATCTGGAGGCACCACAATTTATTATAACTCCTAGGGCTAGTGATAACACAACACTTGGGGGATTTCACTAGACCCCTTGGAAGGGGTCCCCTTATCACTCAGCCCCCTATAGCCGATTCCCTGGGCACCCCACGCTGGACCTCCGCTCTGCCCCCGTTCCTCTTCTCCTCCCCCGAGCCTCGCCTCGTGCCGCCCCCGGCCACGCCCCCTGCTCAAGTTTCATTTATTAGGTATAGCCCTGTGAGCCATGCGGCTCTTAAGTCGGGTGCAACCACAACAAACAAAATTTGAACACAGAACATCTTAAAGCGACAACGCGTAACAGAAACATTCCTGAAATAAACCAGCAAATATTCCACACAAAAAAACGTATTAAAACGCTGTGTGAAAAAATCAATGTGGTGCAAGCCAACAACAACAACCATGAGACAATTTGGATTAACCATATGTTTTGGAATCACCAAAATAAAGCTAAGAAAACAATGTAACAATAGTAATCATAGGAACTGTGATTTTAAATTTAACAATAAACGACATATATAACACGGACGACAAAAAACTGCAGCCATAGCTGGCAGCACGACACTCCCAGTATATGATGTGAGTCAGCAGCAGCGTTAGTGAGTGTATGATGTGCGAGTCAGTGCATGATGAGTGAGTCAGTGTATGATGTGTGAGCGAGTCAGCGGCAGTGTGAGTGTATGATGTGTGAGTCAGTGCATGATGAGTCAGTGTATGATGTGCGAGTGAGCCAGCACACGATGAGTGAACCTGTGTATGATGAGTGAATGGGTCAGTGGATGTGCGAGTGTATGATGTGTGAGTGAGTAAGCGCATGATGAGTGAGTCAGTGTATGATGTGTGAGTGAGTAAGTGCATGATGTGTGAGTGAGTCAGTGTATGATGTGTGAGTGACTCAGTGCATGATGTGTGAGTGAGTAAGTGTATGATGTGTGAGTGAGTCAGTGTATGATATGTGAGTGAGTCAGTGTATGATGTGTGAGTGAGTCAGTGTATGATGGGTGAGTGAGTCAGTGCATGGTGTGATTGAGTCAGTGTATGATGTGTGAGTGAGTCAGTGTATGATGTGTGAGTGAGTCAGTGTATGATTGTGGAGTGAGTGTATGATGTGTGAGTGAGTCAGTGTATGATGTGTGAGTGAGTCAGTGTATGATGTGTGAGTGAGTCAGTGTATGATGTGTGAGTGAGTAAGTGTATGATGAGTGAGTCAGTGTATGATGTGTGAGTGAGTCAGTGTATGATGTGTGAGTGAGTCAGTGTATGATGTGTGAGTGAGTCAGTGCATGGTGTGATTGAGTCAGTGTATGATGTGTGAGTGAGTCAGTGTATGATGTGTGAGGGAGTCAGTGTATGATGTGTGAGTGAGTCAGTGTATGATGTGTGAGTGAGTCAGTGTATGATGTGTGAGTGAGTCAGTGTATGATGTGTGAGTGAGTCAGTGAATGATGAGTGAGTCAGTGTATGATGTGTGAGTGAGTCAGTGCACGATGTGTGAGTGAGTCAGTGTATGATGTGTGAGTGAGTCAGTGTATGATGTGTGAGTGAGTCAGTGTATGATGTGTGAGTGAGTCAGTGTATGATGTGTGAGTGAGTCAGTGCATGGTGTGTGAGTGAGTCAGTGCATGGTGTGATTGAGTCAGTGTATGATGTGTGAGTGAGCCAGTGTATGATGTGTGAGTGAGTCAGTTTATGATGTGTGAGTGAGTCAGTGTATGATGTGTGAGTGAGTCAGTGTATGATGTGTGAGTGAGTCAGTGCATAATGTGTGAGTGAGTCAGTGTATGATGTGTGAGTGAGTCAGTGTATGATGTGTGAGTGAGTCAGTGTATGATGTGTGAGTGAGTCAGTGCATGGTGTGAGTGAGTCAGTGTATGATGTGTGAGTGAGTCAGTGTATGATGTGTGATGTGAGTCAGTGTATGATGTGTGAGTGAGCCAGTGTATGATGTGTGAGTGAGCCAAGTGTATGATGTGGTGAGTGAGTCAGTGTATGATGTGTGAGTGAGTCAGTGTATGATGTGTGAGTGAGTCAGTGTATGATGTGTGAGTGAGTCAGTGTATGATGTGTGAGTGAGTCAGTGTATGATGTGTGAGTGAGTCAGTGCATGATGTGTGAGTGAGTCAGTGTATGATGTGTGAGTGAGTCAGTGTATGATGTGTGAGTGAGTCAGTGCATGGTGTGAGTGAGTCAGTGTATGATCTGTGAGTGAGTCAGTGCATGGTGTGAGTGAGTCAGTGTATGATGTGTGAGTGAGTCAGTGCATGATGTGTGGGTGAGTCAGTGTATGATGTGTGAGTGAGTCAGTGTATGATGTGTGAGTGAGTCAGTGCACGGTGTGAGTGAGTCAGTGTATGATGTGTGAGTGTGTCAGTGCATGGTGTGAGTGAGTCAGTGTATGATGTGTGAGTGAGTCAGTGTATGATGTGTGAGTGAGTCAGTGAATGATGAGTGAGTCAGTGTATGATGTGTGAGTGAGTCAGTGTATGATGTGTGATGTGAGTCAGTGTATGATGTGTGAGTGAGTCAGTGTATGATGTGTGAGTGAGTCAGTGTATGATGTGTGAGTGAGTCAGTGCATGATGTGTGAGTGAGTCAGTGTATGATGTGTGAGTGAGTCAGTGTATGATGTGTGAGTGAGTCAGTGCATGATGTGTGAGTGAGTCAGTGTATGATGTGTGAGTGAGTCAGTGTATGATGTGAGTCAGTGCATGATGTGTGAGTGAGTCAGTGCATGATGTGTGAGTAAGTCAGTGCATGGTGTGAGTGAGTCAGTGTATGATGTGTGAGTGAGTCAGTGCATGGTGTGAGTGTGTCAGTGTATGATGTGTGAGTGAGTCAGTGTATGATGTGCTTGCGCCGTGGCCCCCCCCCCCCGCTCCATCGCCCCCCCCCCCGGCTCCGTCGCCCCCCCGACTCCCTTCGGCCCCCCCTGGCTCCGTCGGCCCCCCCCGGCTCCGTCGCCCCCCCCAGCTCATCGCCCCCCCCTGGTTCCGTCACCCCCCCAAGCTCCGTCGGCCCCCCCTCAGCTCCATCGCCCCCCCCCCCCCGGCTCCGTCGGCCCCGCCCTGGCTCCGTCGGCCCCCCCCTGGCTCCGTCACCCCCCCCCGGCTCCGTCGGCCCCCCCCGGCTCCATCGGCCCCGTCGGCTCCGTGGCCCCCCCCTGGTTCCGTCGGCCCTCCCCTGGCTCCGTCGGCCCCCCCCTGGCTCTGTCAGCCCCCCCGGCCCCGTCGGCCTCCCCGGCTCCGTCGGCCCCCACGCTCCGTCGGCCCAGTCGGCCCCGTCGGCTCCGTCGGGCCCCCGGCTCCGTCGGCCCCCCCCGGCTCCGTCGGCCCCCCTGGCCCCGTCGGCTCCCCGGCCCCGTCGGCCCCCCCGGCTCCGTCGGCCCCGTCGGCTCCATCGCGCTCCCTCAGCCCCCTCACAAGCCGGCCCCGCTCAGTCTCTCTAAACGGAGCCGGAGCCGGAGCCAGTGTCACATGTCCTTGGGCCCTCGTTGCCGGGCCTCCTTCGCTCCCCTGGGCTGGCAGGTCCCCTCTCCCCTCCAGCAATGGGACCCCGCCGTGCAGGGCCCGCTTCCCGCAATGTCTCCGTCGA